CATGTTTAATGAATTGATTTGAGTCTGATCAGCTTGTCTCAATTTCTGCTGCAACCTGAGATAGATAGAATCTGATTAGGTTGTTAGAGCCTCTTCATTCGATAGTAGGAGATTGGCTATACGAGAGTTAGCCAGTTGACTGCTTTGTACTGGTGTTCTTGGCGCCAGTAGTGGAGTTCTGTGTTCATAGCCTCAGCTTTCTATCCCGGTGAAGACTAGTCGTCTGCCGGGTAGTTAGACTGAGAGGGCTTGGTCAGCTTAAGAGATTCCAAGCTACTGTCGGATCTTCCGCAGTCTAATCAACAGTAAATCAACCCAGGGAATTGCAATTGAACCTAACTAAGAGGCTAGGGGGACTCAATCCCGAGTGACTCTTACCTGCTTTAGAAACCCGAACAATTTACTGCTTTCTTGTTGCTTTTACTTTTCACAACAATCACTCGACTTAGTTTGCTAGATAATAGAGAATCACGGAGTAAGCAGTAGATCTAGACCCCGGGTTGATAATTAAACTTGCCTGTTACTGCATTCCCTTTCATTGGTTACACTTGGCCATTGTTAGGTGTTGTGTTTTAGCGTGTCACTCCTGCAGAACCTTTGCTAGGTGGGAGCCCCCGTTTTCTGCAAAAACAGGTTGGAACCCGTGAAAAAAAAAAAAACAAAAAAACAAGCAAAAAGAAGAAAGAAAAGGGTTCCAACCATCTTCAAAAAGAAAATCGAGCACCTTGAATTAATGTGAGTCCATGATCTTTTGTTTTTGAGAGTCTCTTCATCCACGATTCATTTGTCCTCTGTTCACTATTTGCCATGATGCCGACTCGAGACTAGTGTTCTCGCCGAAGAAGCTATGAGAGGACTTGTGCGTCGGTTGACCTCGTAAGTTGCTAAATGATCTAGGAAGTCCTCTACCTACGATCGAGGTTGTTTGTTGCTATAGAGGTCTGGAGAGCTGCATTGGTTTGAGTTAGGTTTGCTTGGGGACAAGCAAACGATTAAGTGTGGGGGAGTTTGATAGACCGATAATTACACCTGTTTTTACCCCTATTCTGAAGCCGTTTGTGATGTGGAATCTCGTGTTTTAAGCCGATTTCACGCTAGGTTGTGTGTTTATGTCATATTTCAGGACCCGGCGTTGGAATCGAGGCGGAGAAACGAGTTCTGGGTCGAAAGGAGCGAAGTTGGGACGAAGGAGGCCGATGGATCAAAATACCCGGCCAAAGGCAGGAATACCCGACCGGGTATTTTCTGGCCTTGGTCGGGTAATTTTCACTTCGGGCGTCCGTGAGAAACAGAAGGGGGCCCGGGCAAATGGCTTAAATCCTCGGTCGGGGATTATGAAGTCAGACCGGGGATTTTCCCCTTGAACGAAACGGTGCGTTTTGATTATACCCGGTCGAAATCCAAAATACCCGACCGGGTATTTCGACCGGGTATCGCGACCAGGCAGCTGATAAAAGGAAGAAGAAGGCCAACATTGAAGGGTTCAGAGTTTTTGAGAGAGAAAGCGATCCCTAGAGAGAGAAAGCGACGAACCAGAGTTCCCAAGTGCCATAGCTTGATCTTCATCACCATTGGAGCCCGGCTTGAGCTTGGAGAAGTGCCGATTAAACGTCCAGGAGCAGAAATCCGTCTTCACAGTATGATTTCCGCGTCTGAATCTGCTTTTGCTTCTTTCTCTATGGAGTAGTTCCCCCATTCATCTGGGTATGGGGAACCCTAGAGTTGTATGCTAGGTCTGATTGTATGAACCCAAGTACAGAGTTTGTGAATTGGTTATATTCGATTGAGGTTTGAATGATTGAATGACTTGAATCCTGATCAAATTCCTGTTGTTTCTGCTTTGACCTAGAATGAGAATATCTGCCTAGGTTGATAGAGTATCCTTAATCGAAGGTGGCGAATTGGTGACTTTAGTCGAGGAGCCAATTCGCTATTCTGTACCGAATTCAATTCGGTAGTGGAGGTTTGGCTCGCTAGGACCTCAATCTGTTTACTCCGGTGGAGGTTAGTCGCCCGCTAGAGACTCAGATTGAGAGGGTCTGGAGACCTTTAGTCGAGACTTCAGACTAATTAAGAACCTTTCGCAGTATAACTTTCATGAAAACTGAACTTGGTAAATTACAATCCGGCTTAACTTCAATCTAGGGAGAACCATATCCGGGTGACCTCTCTTGACTTGACAACGACCGTTTACTTGCTTTGTGTTTTTGTTTGCTTGAATTTGCACTAAAAGTTCACTGCTAGATAACGACAATTCACCGAGTAGTCATCACATCTAGGACCCGAGTTGACAATAAAACCCAAACCCGCTATACTACGCTTTAGGAAGTGGTTACACTTGGCCATTTTCTAGAGTGACAGTAGGAGTGAGTCAAGCGGCGATGGAATTCGCTCAGGAGGCGGCTTCGACCAAGAAAAAGAAACATAGCGGCGGCGGAGTGCTCTGCTCACTGAGGAAGGAGAAGAAGGAGGGAGTGACGGAAGAATCGGGTGATTCGTCGGAGCCCCGAAGAGCGCCGTCGATCTAGAGAAGGAATAGTCGACGATTGCAGTCGATTTTGGCTGCGCCGCCGACCGGAGATGGGGCGTCGTCGAGAGACGCGGTGGCGGACAAAGTAGAGCCGAAAACGGGTGAGGAGAAAGGTGGCGGATTCCTTCCCTCCGCAACCCTAGGCCGCCGAAGCTTGGAGTGTTCTGGGCTCTCGTCGGGCCGAAATGATGGGTTGTCGCTGGGCCAAGTTGGTGGGGCCGCCAATCTGGAGGGGCCACTTGTACTGGGCCAAGTAGAGGAGTTGGATCCCATCAACCTTGGTTATGGGCGGCAACATGAGAAGAGGGAGATTCCTTGGCTCAATTCAAAACTAATGGAGAAGCTAAGCGGGCCGAAGTATGTGCGAGATCAGGCCGAGTCTGGGTCAGATTCTGGGTCGGGAAGATTGAGTTCTAACAGATCAAACCATAGTGGAATTGGGCTTAAGTTAAGCTTCCTGGTCAGTTTTCTCTTGTACGGTCGTGGGCCGATATTAGAAGAAAGTGGGACGGGTTTGCAGGAAAGATCAAAGGCCCACATGGGTTGTGTTTTGAAGAAAATGGACTCAATGGCTTTGAATTACAACTCTTTCGCGTTGGCAGATGGGCTTTTGCAAGAGCATGACCCAAAAATATGTGGAGAAGAAACAAAGTAAGGTAATGGGGTAGCTCCAAGACAGATTTTTGACGGCCTCAATGAGATGGTACTCAAGGATGTGTTCTTGAACAAGAACGAATATTTGGATTCCTTAAGTCACTCAAGTTTGAAGCCAACGAAAGAGGAGCTATTGAAGTTTGAGTTTGTCAAGGAAGCAAGGAGTGGGCCCATGGAAATATAATTTGAACAGTTGGACCAACACGAGGAGATCAGTGCAAGAAGGATGAGTGAGGAGTTGGTGCGTGATTGCAAGAAAAGGAAGCACAAGAAATGGGAAGTCAAGATGCAGATTGCACGGACGACGGGGTGAAGTGGATCGAGTCGATCAACCTTGAGGGCAAGGTTGGTCTCAAGGGGGAAACGATGATAGAAACCTAATTTCTGGGATCTATCATAATTATTATTGTTATTAATATTGGGATTTATTTAGATATGGTTAGTAGTCTTTGAGTCACATTAGGATAGTCGATTAGGTTTTTCCGGTCTTTCGCTATAAATATGTACTTGGGGTCTTTTGTTCGATTAAGCAAATATTAATAGAAGAATTATCTCCCCAAACCCTAAGCTCTCTCTATCTTCTAATTTCTATCCTTCCCTAATCCAAGGCTTTGGCCGATTCTTATTCTCTACTTCATCTTTCCCAAATTCTCAATATCAATTCCCAATTCTATCTCTAAATCCCTAAATTCCCAATCACCCAACAATCGATAGAACCCTAGAATTAGGTTTCTATCACTGGCATATTAGCAAAGCGAACAATTTTTCCTTCAAAATCTTTTACACCAACACTACTTCCGGGAAAGCAAGCAAAAGTTAGGGGGAATGAAAAGAACCGACTAACGACGACTCAAGAAGGGAGGGAAGAGATCATGTGAGTAACCATGAGTAACCCGTCCACATCAGCATGACATCAGCATCCTTCTCTCTCCTGGAAAGCCTTTAATTTTCCCCTCCTAAATCTTTGACGGAGGATTTCTTACTCGTTTTAAGTTGAAATTTAATTATTTGCACAGTTAGAACAGATTAATTGTGCTCTTCAAAATGATATCCACTTTGATATATTTTTCGAACAAAAAAATTGAGTCATTTTTTACCAGTCTATACCATATGGTATTGATTGGTATTGAAATAAGAGCATACCTATGGTTTGAAAAGTGTACCATGGTGGTATGAACAAACCAAGACTGTAGGATGGTTGAATACATGATAGTAGAAGTATATTAATTGTCATTTACGACTTTTAACATTGTATACCACAAGATACCACCCCCGTACCAAGGTGGTATTGTATGGTATTGTGTGGTATTTTTTGGTCCTGTAAATTGTTTTACCCAGAAATTTGTAGATCCAATAGATCATGATAAACTCGTTCCTTCTGTGCAAATGTTTTAAAAAACGAATTCAAAATGAAGAAGATACCATATGGTATGCAGTTGGTACCGAGAGGCAAGAAATTTTTTTTCTCAAAAAATATTGAAAATGCATCTCATTTTGTAAAGCACAATAATACGTTCCATCCGTGCAAAAAAAAATTAAAATCCGAGTTAAAACGAAGAAATATGAGCCGAGTAAGAAATCTAGGGAAAATAAAAATGGACTTTAATTCTCCATATTTGATCTGGATTTTCTAAATGAAGGGTCCATATTTAGTTATTGATAGGTGCATAACCCATGGTTAGGGCGGGAAGTTTGGTACCGGTATTTAGGATATACTGAATATCGTATCGAATTTGTCTATATTTGGCAATACCGAATACACGTATTATTTCTTGGGATTGTGATTCAATTTCAATTGTTATTCGGTGTTATGGATTACAGGATTGGGATCGGTATATACCGAAATACCGAAATATAAGCTAGTGTGTATTTTATGCTTTCAACTAAACTCACTCATTCACTACTACACGACCCTTAACCACCAATCTATTGTTATTTTCATAACACCAAAAAGCAAACACTAGTATTAGTCTTCTCTCAGCCTCCAATTCATCAAATTAAAGATTACAAATTACAAAAACTTGAGATGTCACCTATCCTCCATTCTCCTTATCCATATCCGAGCTCTAGCCGAACTTAAGACTCTTTGTTTAGTCTCATTCACTACTACACGACCCTTAACCACCAATCTATTATTATTTTCATAACACCAAAAAGCAAACACTAGTATTAGTCTTCTCTCAGCCTCCAATTCATCAAATTAAAGATTACAAATTACAAAAACTTGAGATGTCACCTATCCTCCATTCTCCTTATCCATATCCGAGCTCTAGCCGAACTTAAGACTCTTTGTTTAGTCTCTTTGTCCTATATTAAACATTCAAATCTAATTTATATATTAATTATTAATTGCAAAGGTAATTAATTTCTGATTCGATAATACCGATTGGGATACTGAAGTACCGATTGGGATACCGAAATATTTAGGGATTGGAATTGGGATACCAAAATTATTTATGGATTGGGATAGGGATTGAATTTAGGATGTAATTCGGTATTCGAAATTTCGGTATTTGGTATTAGGATACCGATACCGTACCGATTTCCACCCTTACCCATTGTTATGCACCCTGGCCAAGAAGGGAGGGAGGGCTTTGGGAGAGGACAGAAAACACAGTTTGAAAAATATTTGCAGCGCAGCAACCACAAACGGTTTTGCAATACAAGTGTAAATTACATGTCACCAATTGGAAGAATCTGAAAATGAAAGGGGGCTGGCGGTACGAGAGGTAATGATGTCATGGCAACAAACTGAATTCGAGTAAACTCTTTCTTTCGTCTTGGCTACCGAAATAGCTTGAAATAGAGAACCACTAAGATGGCAAGGATTAAAGCTGCAATGATGCAACCAACCATCCACTTGTTCCGGTTCATCCTTCTTGACATTGCCGTCAATACCTTCTTACTTCTCCCAATGTTGTCATCTACCCCATGCAGCTGCACATAACGTACCCAACCAATCCAACATTCGTTGAGCTTGTTTTCCAACCATTCTGAAATGGAAAACCTACTATTCTAGTTTCTAATTTTCTTATAGGAACAATACTCACAATTAAGAGGAAATAAATTGTACTTTTAAGCATACAAAATGCTAAATTGTTTCTTACATTTTTGTTTCGTATGTCATGTCGAGCAGAAGATAAGCACAAGGTAAACAAAAGAAGTGGGATGGGAGAAGGAGTTGATACCGTGCCATGGGCGTGCAAGAGAGCTTGACGTTGCTGATGCAGATCTTGAAGGATGGATACTCCAAGCTCTTCTGTTTCCAACATTGTTCTTCTGCTGTCTTTAATTCGGTCGCTGGATTGGTTAAGTCTCTCTGTCGACATCAATAGCCTTCCTCGTTGGTTTGTAGACACCTGTTTCATCCTCAGAAAGTTTACTCCAAATACTTGTCAAAATCAGAGTAGCTCAACTTAACACCCCCCAGCTTTCCTCATTGATTATTACTATTTGCAACTATATTACCATGCTATGCAAGTGTAAACCCTTTAAAAATGCATCATTCCGCACAGCCTTACAGAGAAGTTCTATTTTAAGCCGGGCATCACTTCCATTTTCAACACTGATTGGGCCTGGATGAAAAGTATCAGTGTTAACGTGAAACTATGTGCTGCGCTCTATATGAATCACAATGCTATACGTATTACCTCCAGCAATGCATCAAATTCTTTTAGAAATTGATGAGAGAACTTATATACTGAAAGCTGGTTACAAGAGTAGAGCATGACAGCACGCAGTCTTGCATCACATTTCTGAATGTAATATCATCTACTGACAAGTAGAACATAACGGATTAGAACAACACTCAGCATTGATCTCTATGATAATACATCAACCCTTCCTGATCCTTTTGAATTTCAGCAGTTAAAAAAATAGTTGATTTGGCTCCAGTTCTGAATGGCAACTCATAAAATAGAGAAAGCAAGTACAAGTGAGTTTGAAACAAGATAGCAGAAGCATAACAGTAAGAAAACTGGAAAACAATAAAAACTGTGTAGCAGGTTAGAAAACAAGGACGGAACACACTCCGAACTATAGTTTCACCAATCAAAAAGGATGCATGACAATAAGAAAAATTCAGATACAAGACATACATACCGTCTTTGCATCGGCCATTCCAGATTCCAGCAGTTCATCTCTGGCAGTCTGGCTGACATTAGAAGATGAGATTCTCTTAACTTCACTCTTCAAATTGATTAGATCAGTTTTATACTCCCGTATCTTAGCAAGAAGGGACGATTTTATATTTGGTGGCAAGCTCCTTGCTTCAAGGTCCATTTTCCGAATCTGGAGAGATTTAGGTGAAGATCAGGTATTAAGACCAAGTTACTGGCATTTGAAATTGGGATAGGGATACTGACATTACCAAGGCATCAGCATCATCCAATCCAGTTTTAACTTCAGAAAGATTCTGCTTCTTCTGCTCTGTAATTCCAGAATTCACAACTCATCATTTTAAATTAACCTCACAAACGAGGAAAAACTCCATTTGAGGTCGAGTTAACAAAACATCGATTTAATTTCCAGAGTCGCATAAACATATGACATTTGCGACCTAATTTGGCTGCCATCAACAGCAGACAAACAAATGGTTTGATACAGGTTGCATGGAAAGAGAAATAGGTTACAAAAATCTGTACCGGTTTCAGCAGCTTGTAAAATCACACTATAGAAATAATAGCTCTATACATTTACTGATTTACAGAATGCTCTGAAATAGAAATTCAACAAATCGAATACAGAAGCAGCATGCAGTCATTTGCAAGATGCTTCTGGACACAGGGACTAAGGTTAGACTTCTAAAGAACATCAAATTAACCGTGATTCATCAAATATGAGACTTTTTGGGGGACACCATGCATAGAACTGAGAAAAATCCAATCAATTCCCATTTTCATTCTCCTTGTTCGCTTGGCAGCAATATGTTATGCAAACCCACCCGTCCGTTTGGGATCTCGCATGATTGACAGAAAACTCCTATTAATACAAGAATGCTAGCGAGAGTTGATGCTTATGACTGCAATGGTATGCAAGATTGTCACATGCGCATATGTGCTAATGCAAGTAGCTAATCTGTCCTTTCATGGGACAGAGACTAGGGTTCATTCCTCTAGAGAACATATCCAATCATCAGGGAATTCTTGGTTCAAGCTGGGAATTAATCCCTCAAACCCATAGAAAAAAAAATCGTAAAGGAAAACTAAGCAGATATTTCGTATAACCATTTGATCAAGCAGCATGAATCAAGACCATTCAATTACCAGTGCTTCACGCAAGCTTATGGTTCGGTTTCTTTACCTCCAATGAGGACACTAGTGGAGGTGCATTTCCGCGACAAATTAGCGGAAAGCTCACAGTATTGACGCTCATATCCTTCGAATACCTGACTCATCGCTCTCTTTCAACCTTCCAGAGTTCATGGCACAAAAAGAACGGGAGAACCATCAATTAGCTGATTCGAATTGCCTCGAAGTTTAATCTATGTTCACAAAATTGCATTGTGTTTGTAGAGAGCATTTATGAACCGGACATCAAATTTATGGAACGATAAGAAGATCTCACCCACGGAAACGCGGTGCCAGCCGAATGATTTCTGCCGCGACCAGCAACCGAAGCGTCACCGGAGAATGATCGAAGGAAGGCCGGTCTCCTGTGCGAGAAAATGGAATTTGGAAGAAGAAATTCACTGTTATTTTAAAGGGATAATAGCCTTTTATGTCCTTCTATTATTGTAAGTTAACAAATGTACTCTTTATAATATTTTTTCACAAACTTGCCCTTCAATTGTGAGCATGTAACAAATGTGCCTTTTACCAAAGCTTCCGTCAATTGCCCGTTAAACAAAACGAAAATGACAAATTTACCACTCATTTGTTATATATTAATTTAATAATTTCCTAAAAGAAATCAATAATCTAATTCGTTTTGTTCCTTCCCTTCTCTTAGGAGAATGCCTCACCACCACAAATTCACCCCATTCTCTCGATTCTATAGCAAATTAACAAGTCAATTATTATGGAAAAAAGCAAATAGAAAGATAATTTTCCAAGAATGAAATCAAAGTCGCCCGTCTTGATATTCCGTCGAATTTCATTCGCAAACTCTGATTTTTCTTTGAATTTGAAAACCCTAGCTGCCAGAGCAGAGGCAAGGTCAGCGAAGGAGCATTTGACGGATGAGTGAGATGTCGCGCTAGGTCGAGTAAGAGGGAGAGGCGGAAGGAAGGTGAAGGGGAAGTCACCGTAAGAGCTCTGTCGGCTGCGGGATTCTGCCATTTGTAGATTGGGAGGGCCACTAGAGGGAGTCGGAGGGCTGCTGTCCTTGATCAAGTGTCGGGTCGTCTTCTAGTGGAAGAAGAAGTAATATGGTGGGGTCCTTGATCAAGTGCAAAAAAATAGTTCAGGGGCACATTTGTTAACTTGCAATAATAGAGGGGTAAAAAATGCTATTAACCCTATTTTAAATCAATCGATGATGATGACTCTACACATCTATAAGATATATGAAGCCAAAACAAGGGTTGAGTTTGCAGGGATTCAAAATTCCAGCCCCCAGAGGGTTTCACGGAAGGACAGGAATGTAAATGTACTTGCAAATAAATGGAACGGTGCGTTTTTATCACTTCCAACCGCCTAAATGAAACTCTGCGTATCGTTCCCCATACCCCAGGTATACTTTCTCTTGGAAGCATTCCAATGGGCTTTCTAAATTCTAATCGTCTCATTTGGGCCTGCATTGGGTCTTCCCTTAATCCCTTCCCCCAAACACTTCGCCGCCCTGTCATCTCTCTCTTATGCTCAGTCGGAGATTGGAGGTGGACGCGAAAGGGAGCACCCAAGCCGGCCGTCGCTCCTCCTCTCTCCATGTCCAGTACATGAGCAACGCTGCTCAGTAACGTCGTTTGCTCGCCAACGCTGCCTCCCCGACTCAGCCTGCTATCCTCCCGGTGAAATCCACCCTCCTCTACGATCGCCTGCTCTCCTCCCGTTGAAACCCACAATCCTCGACTCCACGTGTCCTCATCCGGCAAAACCCATAATCCTCTCCTCCCGGCAAAACCCACCCGCTTAGACTTCATTTCCTTTCCTCCTGGCGAAACCCACAATTCTCTCCTCCTGGCAAAACCCAGAATTCATGATTCTAACTGTCGTCTCTCTTACGCCAAGTTGGAGATTTGTGGTGGAATGCAAAAGGGAGCACCCAAATTTGACCGCCTTCTGCCCGAAATCAATTCGCAACTCAAGATCTGTAGGCGGCAAGTCACATGTGCAATGGGTATAGGGGTTAGGCGGTATGTGTGAAGCCCACTACGATTCAATTTAATAGCGTTATCGGAATCTGAAGCTTTCTGCTTATTTGCTAATTTTGGTAAGTTCCTTCTTTTGGTCTATAATGTAGGCGTGTTTGAAGTTCTACCATGGCAATCTGAAACTAATCCGGCAGAGTTTCTAACCATCAGGTAATTTAAGTATTCACTGTTAATGGTTTGGGATTGCCACAACAGAAGGCTGGATGAATTAACAAAAAAAGATGATTAGTGGAAACAAATGGTTATAAGAAGTCCAACATACCTGGCTTATTCGATTCACAATCTTTTCAAAGTGGATTGTGCATCTGTGTAGCTCTTCTGCTGGTCTAAAATGCAGTTGTGTTTGATGTTAGACCAAGGCAATGAGCATTACAAGTATTAAGTAAATATAAATGTCAGGTCATTCCAAGATTAACTGTTAGTGGTTATGGATGGTTGAAGAGCTACCTAGCTTTTGAATACTGAATGTAGTGACAAATAGTCATAATTACTTACTCTCTTCTATATAAATGTCAGGTGATTTCGGGATTAACTCTTGATAGTTTGAGATTGGTAAAAATAATCTTTCTACCAACCAATTACTTAATGTACTAACTGCTCGCCATAATTAGTGATTTCAGATTGTCGCACTGTTTAGCAATACATCTCTGCAACTATTCTGAAGATTAGGTATTTGATGACATGGGCATGTATTCGTCGCCTTCATCTCTGAATGGCTTCACAATTACGGTAAATAGGTTTGAGCTTGCATCTTTTATCTTTGTTGGTTTCGATTCTGAAGTGAAAGTGTTGTATTTTGGGATTGACGGCGGATGCTGTTGACGAGATTTCATCGGAGATCTGGAAGTGAAGGAGGCTTCATCACATGGAGGTTAGATGGATCTTCTTCTTCTTCTTTTAATTCGATTTGTTTGAGTTTTATGATTCTGATCTTTTTTGTTTTGCTTTTCTGGATTTTTCTTTCTGGGGTTAGCTCGAGTGGAAGAAAGAGGAGTCACATGGCTTTCGGGTCTTGCCGGCGACGGAAGAATCCGGATCTTGAGAGGGTTGGGTAAGTTCTTGGATTTTTTTTTCAATCCAATTTCTGTTTGTATTTTGTTGTTTTGATGTTGACTTGGTGTTCCACTTTCAGACAAGGTCGGAAGAAAGAAAGGTAGCCGCCTGCAACTTTGAGTCTTACCAGCGTCAGAGGAGACATCCAGCGATGGGTTTTATTTGGTAAGTTTACTTTTGAGTTTATGTTGTTGAAAAGGAAAACCCCTTATAATACATTAAGTTGGGGGGAAGTGATGTTGAAAAGGAAGTGGAGTGATGCAGAACAATTCCCATCTCGACCTGTGATAAGTTAATGTGTCTAGCTCCGCTATTCCATCTCTTTCCCAACCTTTGAAAGGGCTATCTCATGGCACCACAAAGATGTCGGGGATGTGAATTTGATGTCGAGCTACACTGTCTTGAATCTTGATGGCACCACAAAGCTGTTGGGATCGCTGCCAATGATTACCACCTCTTTGTCATCAGATTCCAAAGAAGTAAAGCTTCAGGAGACGTTGGTGAGGGAAAAGGTAGCATAGGGAGTCATGGTTGGAGTTGGAGAAGTATCTGGTGGGAAGGTACACCTTCCTCATCGCGAAACTTGCTAGGATTGAAAACCCCTCCTACCTGGCCCGTCGGTGAGCGGTGGTTGCTGAACATAAGCATTCGTCTGAAATTGCTGAAGTGTTAATCCGCGACCCGTCCAAGGCTCTGTTCCAAGTCCCTGAGGTGGTCATTTCCAAGTTTGACAAGACCATGCTCTGGCTCTCTGTTCCAAGTCAACTGACAATACTGCATCTCGGCCAAGCATTTCACCTCAAGATTTGTCGTTCAAGACTTCAAGTGGCCCGTTAAATCCTTTTTGGTTGAGGGTAACATTCTGTTAATTACCACAACTGAATGATCTTTACATATCAGTTTCAGCTGATGTTTGTAGGTTATTACTGGCTTTATCCCCTGTCCATTCTCCTAATAAGACTAATGGAGTAGTTGGGAATTATGATTCTATCTCTGCTCTTTTTGGTTTGTGTGTGTCTATTGAGAATGATTTAGTAGTCTAATTTCATCATTGTGTTCAATTGTCACTGCAATCCAGTGGTCATGTTTTTGTTCCTTTTTCATTATTTTCAAGCCCCTTTTAAGTCTTTGATGATGATATGCTGTAGCTCTTTCCTAATGTGGTTAGGAAAAACCATAGGAGAGGAAGTTTATTTTTGTCCCCCCTTGGTTCGTTCCCATCTAGGGCTCATAGTTTAAGAATGCTGTTCACCTGCAATGACCAGATTATCGGTGAAGAGCAAACGAAAAGATTTTAATAATTTGACGGTCAAAATGAAACTAGAAGTGGTAACTGTAAAGGATCGAACATATTGATCAGGATCAGGATATTTAATTTGTGAAAAGTTCGGACATACAAATATATTAACCCTAAAATTAATTACGATTACAGTCAATTCCATTAGCTCAAGGCATTAAAAAGCAACTCCCAATTTCAAAAGAAAAGTAAGAGATACTTCAATAATAAGAACAATCCGGCCAATGGGCCGGACTCTGTGCTAGTAATATAATACGCCGAAGGAAAAAACGGGAGCTCCATTTCAAATTTCCTGCAACGAGAGTGAAAGTAGGAAGGACATTTTGGTCTTCACAATTACTTTTTTTTATTCATTAAAAAGACATGTACGGAGATTCGAACCATGACCATTTTAAAGAAAAGCAAGGATCCTAACCAACCTCACTAAGTACATTTGTTGTATCTTTTTAAATTAAAAACATATAATAGCAAGGAGGAAAAAACTCTTCCCCCATTTCAAATTCCCTGCTCCAGGAGCGTTTGTAGTAAGGGTAGAATAGGGAGTGTCAATTTTTTCTCTTTCCTCTGTGGAACGGGCCAACTTACCGTACACATGCGGATTTGAACGGGTCCAAGAGTGTCAATTTTTTTCTTTATACCCTTTTATTTCTCCGTGGTGATAAAATATATATGAAAAGGCAAAAACATTACTTCTTTTTATTGCTAAAAAAAATTAACAATAAACTAATGCATGGTATCTAATGGGCTAACCGCTAACCATAAAATAAAAGAGTTGAATGGGCCTGACCTACACGGGATTTGACCATCAAGTAAAACAAATGAACATCATTGGTTTGACATTCTAAAACAAGCTATTTTCTCTGGCATAATATATATTATGCTATTATTTTATATCTTAGTGGCTAAAATATAATGTATTTTAAAGTTATTCAATGGTTCAACCTCGACCAACCCAATTAGTCTAATTTTTATCATTTCAAATATATATTATATAATTATTTGATATCATAATGATCAAATTATAGTGTATTTTATAGGGAATCGTTTAGTATTTGTTAGTAAAAAACTAAACAGAAAGATCTATTTGGTTATTTTAAACATTAAAACGATCATAAACCTTTTCAGTTCCTTTTGAATTTCTATGGTTTTATTCCCGAATAAGTGATGTGCAAATGGCGAATTGCAGTCATCTCTTTTCTTTCACTATTTTTTATTTTCAAATAGAAAGTTTGAAAGTAACGAATAATTAGAATTTGGCATGGGTCGGTCAAACAGGCTGAATTTTAAGTTTTGTCTTGTTTTGATCAAGTCTAATTTATAATCACATGGTTCCCTGATACCCGATAAAAATCTCCATCCAAACCAATTTGGCAGGTGAGTCCGTGTTTACCACCATTTTCTAGGAATACGACAACGCCGGTTCCTATCCCAAATCATGTTGTTCGTTCTTGATTTCCTTAGATTTTATCATGGTCTGACAAAAACCAGAAAGCACAATGACGACAAGATGAAAGTTTTATAAAACAAATTAATGGTGTTCTCTTTCTGATGTCATGTAATTATATAATGAAGTTGAAGTTTTTCGATGCTATTCAATTTCATTGGTATGTTTTTAATGGTCTAACTTCATGGTTGTACCAACTTCTGATGTACTGTTTATGTTCCAATATATTCACTTTGGTATGATTATTAGGGATATGCTAGGCGGTACTCACCATTAGGCCAATTTAGCTTAATGGTTGAATCTACGGGTTATCCCAATAATTCAATATTCGGCTCATCTCCTCCGACCAACGGGTCGAGTTATAAGCTAGTTGTTTTAAGTTTATTTCCAACCCAAGTCGTGAATCCATTTTGCCACCCTATGTTTTTTTTTTTGTTGCTAAATTGCGCTATGTAATGTTTGTGACTGATCTATTAAACACTCTATTATAGCCAAATATAATCCTACAACGCGTGTTATATAAAGTAAGTATGTTTTTAATTATCAAATTATACCCTTATTTATATTTATGTATTGTCTTTTCTTCGACTCATTAGACTTAATCTTCGATTACTTAGTAAGTTTGCGTGTATTTTTTTAAATAACATGTAAGTATGGGTTGACCTGCCTAGCCTCATACTCACACGAGTAATACCCATCCTGACCTATAATAGTATGGGGCGGAGGCATGGGTATTGCGGTACCCGCCTTGCCCCATTGCCATCACTAGGTAGAGTGTTAGTGCGAGCTGTCTCTCTACAGTTGTAAAAGTGTGATCACATTCCTCCGTGCAGATTATTGTCAATGGTTAGCATGTGCCAATAACTACACCATCCTAGGCAAAGTTTACCCAAAAATAGTGTTGTCATAAAGTGGCAATCAAGGTCGTATTCACTCAGGTCTTGGTACCCTAGCCTACTTCACACGTTGTTGTTATTTAACTGATCTGTGTAAGGGGTTTGTGTGGAGGATATGATCAAACTAACTAGTCTAGAGAGTAAATAAAGATACAAGCAGGTACTTCGGGGAACTATCCCTCACCCTAGCCTAGGACTACTATGCAATGTCTAGATAATTAGGGTTTGTCGAATGTGGTGAGTGATCTCTTTTCAATGGGCTTTCGTGGTTATCCACACGCCCCCGAGTACGCCTCCCCCAAACCCATGTAAGTCACCTCGATCTAGGATATCGTATCTGGGGCATTAAGAACATAGCTCCTTTCAATGGGTACTACTCACCGTCCACACTGAGGTTTCATCCCGGGTTCTATCTAGGAAGGCATCCCTATGACAGGGGTTCAGTCGCCTCGTCCACCATAAGATCATATTCATACATCTAACCTCAATTTGCTTGATGACGCATACCTGTCTAACCCCAAAACTCCATACCCAATATAGAAGCTCAAGTAGGCTAGTAGAGAATATTAGGGCGACTTACCCAAACACAATCAAAGCTAGAAAAACATTCAAATCAACTAGAAAAACACATTCATTCATTAAAACCCTAAAATATCCATTCATTACATAGTAACCCTAAAACTAGGTTTTTGGGTTTAGAACCCCTAGTATCTTAGAGGACTACTCCATAAAGGACGGAAGAAGATACATAGAAGAAATTGAAGAAGACTTGAGTTTGAGGAAGGTGCATCCTCTCTTCTGGCTCCTTCTCCTTCTTCTCCTTCTTCTCCTCTTCTCCTCTCTCTCTCTCTCTCTCTCTCTCTCTCTCTCTCTCTCTCTCTCTCTCTCTCTCTCTCTCAAATCAGAAATTCTATCACAAAATCAGCCCTGATGGGGGGAAAGGGTCTTCTATTTATAGGTATCAGAGAACGGAGAAGTTCGCGGCCAGGAAGGACAGAGATCGCGTGCGCGATCTTCTTCATGGAGGTCAAAATCTTGCAATGCTGTCATTTTGGCTTTCGAGGATGAGGATTTCGTGGGCTGACTTCACGGTTGCGATCCACGAGTCCCGACGATGAACTTCCTTGCGGTTAATTTGCACTATGGTCGTGTTCTGACTGGGAAGACTCTCTATTTCTCCTCGGCCGCGATCTTCGACTTCCATGCCTCGTTCTTCACCTTGAGTTCGTAGGCTATGATCTTGAGCATGATCTCCACCTCCAGTCCGAGATCTTCAGTCTTCTGTCCCTTTTACTACACTTGTGTCTTTTTTTTTTGTACCTAATTCGCATGTATTGTCTAAAGCACCCTTATATCACATCAAAATCAAATAAGAACGAAATAGGGATGGAATTCACGCTGTTCAAACAATTATGCACATGATTTGGCACGAATCAAACCTTTATATGAAGGATAAATAAGACCAATTTAGGTGTTATCAAAGTGTGTTGTAGTTGTTTAAAACCTCTTGCCTAGATCTCTATTTATAGTACATGGAAGAAGGTATTTTTTGATTTTTTCCTCCTTCGGTTCCGATCCAAGCATCCTTGTAAAAGTCAAACTTGGATGCCTTGACTTGGGGATGAAGAAAGATGTTTCCAAACGATTCTTTGTGCCTTGGGCCACCGACGACCACCCGGCAGTCGGAATCATCGTTGGTTTGTTTACGGGCTATAGTTGCTTGCCCACAAGTAATCTTTCATGCTGATTTGGCCGCAACTTGATGTGTATAGGCTGGTGGAGGTCCAACGACAGTTGGACATGTCGCTCATCTAGGGCTCATATGAAGACTTGTGGTGTCTATACTCAATTGGACTTCGTTTGATGTACAAAATTCTCCTTGAT